CAGTTGTCGGTGTTGTCACAAAAGGCCCCGCGAGCACGCATCATTTCCAAGTAGAAGTATAGTATAAGTCAGCTAGGCGACGACAAACGGATAGAGCTCTATAGCTTTACAATAAGGCCCAAACATAAAATATGAACAGATGAAACGTGTTCAACCACTTGTTATGTCGTCTATATACTTATACCAACATCGTACACCACTGCTGAATCACACTGTTTACTTTCCAGAACAAATATGGTTTTACCACATTTTATCTTACAATCCCTTAAAGATAATAGTCGTAAATAGTCTTCAACTTATAAGTTGATGTCATCAATTCGTAATATAAAACAAAATTAAATATGTAATATTTATTATGCATATCTACTATTTCTAAAAAAAATAGTTTTTAATTGAAGTTGAAGTTCTAAAGTGCTTATTCAATTAGTAATACAAATATTACGGGTCATTCGCTCTGTTTGTTACATTTTCATTTTTCAAGTGTTTATATATACATAGCATATAATTTGATGTTTATTTAACAGAGAAACAGACTGCAATCCGGTATAGATAGTCTGTCTATAAAATTTATGAATTTTAATGCAGAGCAAGAGGAAACGCTCTATTTCTTGTAGTGAAGGGTATAAGAATCTCAGCTTTCTTATTGGATACATTTATCATTGTTTGACATAACATCTCTACAATAAATCTGCACGGCCAAGGTTTGTATAGACTGGGTAGTTTGCTTTTCACGAAATACACCATGCTCTGTATTTCGTGACTTGTCCCGTTCATTAACTGCTTCGCACCAGTTATTCCATCGGCTCTTACTTCTATAAATGACAAACATGACTTCTAAAACTTAATTTCATCACGACAACATTGCTTATTTTTATATAATGAATCTGCATAAAACGCAGATCTCTTCATTTTTAATGTGTTCACTTTACAATGTTTCGTGCATTATCATGATGGCTAATTAATCTGCATTGTTTTTTCTGTCTTTTTTCAATGACAATAATAACATGGTCAAATTTGTAGTCATTCTTCGAAGTACGTTAATAACAACGTTCACTATTTTACTTAATAGAGGTGCTTATATTAAGTTTATTTGAATTAAAACTTATTTCTATTTCCAAATTATAAAAAAAGCACTCCTCAACGTTTGTTTTAACTTATTGATTGTATGTTGAAGAAAATAGAACCAATAATTAATACCAAGCGTATCTCATTATCCTTATAAATATTTATCAAGAATTTTGATTCAAAATACTCCACAAATACCATTAAATCAATGTATTATTATGCTTCCAAAATGTTTATAATTGTAAAGAAAATATTCTTTTTTATGGAAAGTTGGAAAGTTTTATCATTGGTATTCTGTTGTTGTTTCTTCTTTCAGATTAATTATCATCGTTTAGCACATGTGACAACTCATAATTAGCATGCCAGGTGTGGTGCCGTTACGGCTTATTATAGCCCATTATCATAGGGGGGGCGAACGTGTTCGGATTGTAGATATTATTTTATTCCATACGAAGACCTAAAGTGCAGCTGAGTTAATCATTGGTCTGTTCTGTATAAATAAATCAAGACTCATTACAATCATGTGAAACACAATAACTATGGTAAATGATTTGATAAATCAGAAACTAAGAAATATTGTGAATGCTATATTAACTATAGTACAAACTAATATTTTAGTTTCTGGCGTCCTCGGTGGTCTAGTAGTTTAGCACGCCGCTTTGCTTCCAATGGTCGCGGGTTGGATTTCTTACACGGTGCAAACATTTATGAGTATGTTTGTTTAAATTAGCCTGGATGTTTTATGTACATATTCACAAAAAGATGTTTATATTAGTTGTCTGGTACTACAATACCCATACCCATAACAAAAACTCTGCATCTCTCCTCTTTTAGTAGAGGATTGCATGGATTGTCCAGAGCTATAAAAAATGTTTTAGTGTTGATTAAAGGACCGAAATTTTCGCTTAAATAATTTGAATGAAAATCATGTTAAAAACAAATGAACTGTTAAATGTGAACATAAAAAATAATTTTCTGCATTTTATAGATTTCGCAACAATAACAGTCAACAACTCTTCAATTTACAAAGTACCTGTTCTTTGTTTAAAATACTCCATAAAAGGCCGAACAGTTTATTGTCATTTGCCAGGGAATACAAATTATCGTCCGGCGTTTTTCTGTTTATGCATCGTCTTGTTATTGTATGGTAAGAACCACATCGTGTCCATATTTTCATATGACTCATGATTGCACGAAACGTATTACTATTTATGCAATCACCTTTAATGTATAGTTGCATTCCATTAATAAATATTTCAGTTATGATAATGTTCTGTATAAATAAATAAATGAAATATGTACGTTATACGGCACTCTTTATTGATATGACCGTCCTCAATAACTGTGCTCTTTATTTGATGACTTGTGTTACTGAACCTGGTTCCGCGATCGTGATGATGATGCCAATTCGGTCAAACAGTGTAGCATTTTCATTCTACAATTAGAACAACATACCTGGAACACTTCCTTATGACATCACTATATCTTACACTTATTAATGAACAAAACGTATATGTAAGATAAATAACAATAATAATTGAATTATACTACTTAAATAGAGTAACTAAAAATAATTAACTAAAGTAGTGAAAATTATCAATTAATATCAGGTAATTCGAAATTTATAAAACGTAGTAATACGCTAAAGTCGTATGCCGGAAAATATTATAACTAAGCTAAATTCGCATGTACAATTAACTAATCTATATAATAGCCATTGAGAATTGCATTTGTCCTGCAGCATGCGACCGTTGCATCATTCGATAGACATCCATCCCATGAGAGCCGACATGAAATTGCCCCTAATTGACGAGTTAGTCTCTATTATCCGTGAAAGTACTATACTAAATTTAATTGGCACACTTGTGTCATGCATGCAGAGGTAACGTGATTTCTCGCTTTTATAGACTTCAGAGCAGAACCGCCTTCAACCCGTAATTATCAACAACTTGAACTTGACCACAAAAACTAAAGTCGTACAATAAAGACGATTTGGCCACGGTTTGTTGTCAAGTATTACTCGTGTCGTGTTAATAGAATGAGTAAATAATGGAGGTACACTTGCCGTGGCAGTTACATCATTTCTGCAAATAAATAAGTTTGGATATAAATATGAATGTGAGATTAATTTAAAATTTTCCTTAAATCCTTATATATTTTTCTGCTATTTCGTATTAAGCATTTACTTCCGTGATTGTATATTGTGATTATATATTGCCACGGCGTGTGTGATGTGAAATGAACACGAATGTTGGCGTGGGTTACCTACCAAACCAAGTATTCTTCCATTGTGACACCTGCTGCGATACCGCTATAAAATATTACAGCGAATACTTAGTACTTAATGTTTACGATCCTATACGATGCTATCTATTTTTGTTGCAAAGTCTTTATTTTAATCATTATAAATTACCAGCTTCCAAATGAGGTATATTAAAATTTATAGCTACTACTTGTACTGAATTCGCAATCCTGTTGTCAAAGTATGAATACAATAACTATGACAAATGTCTGCTTATCATAACAATGAAAACCCGTCACATGTATGACAGACGTGAAAAAATACTATGTTGTTATGTTAATGTTGTCAATAAAATAAATGTGGTTGGAAAAAAATTACATTTTCTATTCCAATATATCTTATTTCCGCGACTTTTATACACGACTATTTAAATTATGAAAGAATGAAATAAATTACAATAAACAATTTGTTGAAAACATTAATGATTATATATATATATATATATATTTATAGAGCAAGAGACCTACATAGCCCAGTCATATAATTTATGAGTGCACTACTAGTGCACCACTAGTGCCTCAATTAGAGCCACGCTCATGCTGATTTGTATAACTTAGCATGTTTAAAATACTATTGGCATCCTTATTCATGTGAACGTAACCTACGGTGAAAGCATTTTCATAGCAATATGAGTATACTAGAGACATGAAAATTTATGTATTTAAAATTAAAATAAATGAGAAAGATTTGAGTTATTAGTTAGTTAATTCATAAACTGAAAAAATCCTTTTTTTAATACTTTGTCTATAGAAAGCTGTATTTACAGAGAGTAATAAGAGCTGTATTTTATTTATTTAGAAATAAATTAGAAAACCCTACAATTAGTTAGTGACAAATATAACAATATTGATTATGACCATATATTATAATAGAAAAAAATGTACTATCTACAGAACAATTTATAATATTGTGACATGTTATGAATTATTGTGTTAGTGTTAGGGATGAGTCTTATGTCTTGTACCGCTTGTAACTAAGTTATGATTCGCATGCCCACGCGCATCCGCAAGGCCGGCTTGCTACGCAGTTGTCGCATCTGATGATTAATCGAGCTTCGGACGATCAGTACTGGTCACACGAGGGCACCATCCTGCCGGCTCTGCACGTGTAGTATTGTAACATATATTGACCACTGGTCTTCTGTGAGTGTCACCTATGAAAATTCAATAAAGGGCTCGTTGTATTTTCCAATTTTAGTTTTAATAATCTTTGAGTTAATAGTGTTATTATCTTTACGTTACGTTATACAGTATTTATAAGTAGTTAATGTATGTTATTTGTAATGAATCATTTTAATTTAGATTAACGTAACGAATGCTTGGCTAAGGACATTAAAGCCACAATGTAAAGTGTTGTATAATGTGATCATCTCTTAGTAAACTGTACCTAGCTGTAGAATAGTCCTACAACGATTAATAAATCTATGAATTTATCGAACTCTGCCTTGTGAGAATTGCAAAAACTTACATCTTAAATTAAGGTCGTGATTTCGTTTTACATAAATATTTGCAGTTTTTTATGGTCAGCAAAATCATATGCATTTTCATCTGGTATTCGGGGCAATTTTGTATAACTATGATTTTTGTCGGCATGTTTTGTTTTTGCTTTATGTGTCTTTATTTTGTTGTCGTAGACGGCAGTACGGACACGTTAAGAAAACTCAGCGACGACTCCTCGCGAAAACATTTGTCAGGTGAGTTCAGGTTTCTTGTCTTAAACAACAAAATGAAAGAATTTATTTCTTTGCCGCATGACAACACCGAAGAAAGCATGGTACACGTTGCCTCATGTTTATGGACTTCAAGCACGCACTGTTAAATTGTTATCATTTCATTACGTTTCTGTCTGTACATATTACCTTTTAATAATCACTTGCTTAACATCCGTCACCTTTTTATTCACACTGCATGGAGCAGACCTTATCGAAGCCGACGAAGACGAAGTTTCCAGCAGTTTGCCGGGCAGAGTTTTCACACATCGCAAAGCATCTAGTAAGTGTATCATAATCATTCTCAACAAACAGATTTTGGTTAAAGTGGTGATGGCTGTCATTGTAATTAATCGGAAATATTGCATAATGGTGGTGGAATAATTTATTAAAAATAACGTTGCAATAAAATAAACTTAAAAAAATCTAATAGTATCTACAATTGTAGCCCGTAAAAAGGTGAAAAACTTAATTCTGCATGATTAATTACTTTACCACAGAAAGTAACTTAACAAATTGAATATAACAAAACGATGAAAACTTAGTTTTTGATAATTAATCATAACCGTACACAGTGGCAACTGGAAGTAATTTAAGATTTACTAATTGCTAGTTTAAAGAACCATGTTACTTTGTTATACCCAGTTACTAAGTCGTTGTAAACGCCTTTTAACATTAACAACGATGTTATTCTAGTACAAAATGGCTCAATTCGCATAAGTATGACGATTAAGTGGCTATTCAAGCACGTCGAAAAGCTCGCCCACGTAGACCCATAAAATCAAAGCATGTGTCAGTAATTAGACCCATTGTCTCCATAACAATATCTTAATAATTATCATATATTACTTGTTTCCTCTATATGATTTATTCAATGTAAAATACTTTGTTACGTTAATAATTGAAAAATATGCAACTACATTCATTGTATATTTCTACTATTGCATGGATCGTGAATTAAATTAACATAGCTACAAAGATTAATAATATTTCTCATCGTAAGTGAAACTTATTTAATGACTAGTAAAATCCACCAAACTCTTCTATTAATTTAGTTGAATACGAAACTTTAGTGTATTGCCGTGAGAAGTAAGTAGTTCAGGCAACGGTGACGGCTGTTAGTTGTCGTGTGTGTTAGTAGTGGCTAATGTGTTTGTGTGTCGCTTGTGTGTCATCACAGCCAGCAGCACGTACAGCATCACTTCAATGGACGCACTTTGGGAGAAGCACCCGCGACGTCTCAGCGAAGCAGGCCTTAGGAGGTCCTCAGGTAAAACACCTCTCATAACGCTGTTATACAACAAATCAATGATAATTATTAGCTATTACAAAGTGACTTCAATTATTTTATCATCGATTTGTTTAGCCTAACATTTATGTGTTTCATTATACATGAAATTATGTAGTCAATCATGCACTCGAAATCCACACCACCCGATCACTTACTCTTTAGGTGTTGTTTTACTTGCTTGGTTTTTACGATCCACTGGCTGAAAGCATGATTTTATTCGCTACACATTTACAAATTTATATTTGTATATATTATGATATAAGAAATTTAAGTAAGTCAAATGCAGTTTGTTATAATATTCCTACCTTGTAGGTAGTACTTAGTGTTAGAGTTATGAATGAAGAGAAAGTTTATAATCCCAATATAACGTAAATGGAACGGCAACTGATTTGCAAATTATTCCCCGATATCCGTTGCACTTGCATGCAACGGTATTCAAGACATACGCATGGCTTAAGCGTGCTAAGAATATGCAATGTAAAATTAAAATATTCATTGTCAATTGATCAATATTAAAACTTACGTGAAAAACTTTCATATAATAGAATAATAAATGAATATTAATTTAATATTAGAAAGAATAAAATTTCGCTGATATTTTGTTTCTTGTCCAAAAGTTAGAAATAACAGTGATTCGTATCTATGTTTCAGATCACAGTGTCATATTGACAGAAGACACTGATAGCTTTATTATTGGTGAGAGAGTGTGGGTAGGCGGTACTAAGCCTGGTCAAATCGCATATATCGGCGAAACACAATTTGCTCCTGGAGAATGGGCTGGAATCGTGCTCGACGAGCCTATTGGTAAGAATGTATTCTCACAAAAATATCGGACTACTGACATATTAAAATTATTGTAATATTGATATTAATGTTTTTTATTTATGACTTTTATACGTTTTCAGGAAAAAATGATGGTTCTGTTGCGGGAGTGCGTTACTTTCAATGTTCAGAGAAGCGTGGAGTATTCTCCCGGTTGACACGTCTCACTCGAGTGTCTCTCATAACACATGCACCACATGATGCCTCACCGGCCTCCGACGCGAGCAGCGTATTCGAACGTCCACCATCAGGCGCTGCTAGGCCTAGACGCACTCTGTCTCCAAATGGGAGCGTGCGCAGTATTGTCAGCAGCAAAATGAGTTAGTACCAGTTAATAATAAGGATTTGCTAAATATTGTTAATATAATATTTAATTTTATATACACGCTGTAATAAATTATGCTATTGCTATATGCTATTTATTAATGAATTTTATCTCTTACATAGATGCGTCAATTTCTACAACGACTAATGGAGAACTCCGCATGGGAGACCGCGTTATAGTATCGAGTAGCCGTGGCAGTAAAGCTGGTACATTACGTTACGTCGGCGTTACTGAATTCGCTCCTGGTGTATGGGCAGGAGTAGAACTCGATGACCCACTCGGAAAGAACGACGGTTCCGTCGATGGAAAGAGGTTCATAAATCTGACGTCTATAATTAATTTTGTTTTACAGTTCTATGAGGTTAACGAAAAATCTCATGATATTTACAGATACTTCGAGTGCGCGCCTCGGTTTGGATTGTTCGCGCCCATAGCAAAGGTGTCGCGGTCTCCGTCGAACCGCAAACCCGGCGCTTGTGCCATACACAACAATGGGCGAGCAACACCGCTGCGGCGCTCCAACTCTCGCGAATCTCTGACATCATTGGGCACTTCTATAGCGTCGTCCCGTGTGGGGGTGAGGCTCGGTGTGACATCGCTGGGCGCTCAGGTAGGCTAGCCTCGCGCGCGTTCGGCCGAGCCCCGATCACCTCGTTCGCCTCCGCTCCCCGTTCGCGCGAGACCGCACCGTAGCGCGCCAAGTCTTCTAGATAAAACTTTACTCGTAAAACATGTCGAGTACGACCGCTGCGCCATCATCGCTCTGCCCCAGCCGCGCGTTTACTACGATATCGTATTTCGCTCGAATAAAAAATCGAAAGAACTGAATCCCCGACGATGGGCTAGCGAGACGCTTCCGAAATCGTGGCGCTGCTCAGAGAGCGTACTCAGCTTCGAGAACAGCAGGGGGGAGCGATCTCGGCGCAGCGAGTCGAGCGGCAGCAGCGCGAGCGGGGCGGTGTCGCGTGGCGCGGGGAGCGCAGGCGGCGAAGTGGTGCGGTGGGCGGGCCGGCCGGCCGCCGTGACGAGGGCCAGCCACGGGGTCGCCGCAGCTACCGACATTTACGTAGAGATGCCGCCGCCGCGCACTCACTTTTCGGGCTTTGGAAAAAGTTACCACTTCTCTTGCGTGTCGCCCTTTCAGTTCACATACCCTTACGTCGTGTATATATGAACGGCCTTCATCCTTTAATATAAACGACACAATGTAACGCTATATAATTTTACTTACATCGATACTGGTAAAAATGTGTCATTAAATATTTAAAGTAAAACAGCTGAGCGCAATTTACAGAACATTTTCCCGTTAACACATATATACGATCTGTACGTTGCTGTGTAATGGAGGTCATAATCAGGGCACGATCTAAGCGTGACACACGAGAGGATGGTTGTCATGTAGAAGGTAGCTTATCGTTTGCATGAGCATCAGTTTGAGTTTTGTTTTGGTCTGTAGCTGGCACCCCTTTGGTTGACCCTTGTGTTTTTTAACTTATTATATGTTTCATTTTGTTTTCGATTCATTCATGTGCATTGTTTTATTTATGAGGCTAATTTTTATTTGACCACATAGTGAATCGTAGACTTATGTTAGTCGTATCTCATTTAGATGGCTTCTAGGTTTGCTTACTTATTTAGTACTATATAATTTCGAAGAGACTGCAATAGTCATATCTTATGATAATAATATAATGATTATTATTATTATGATTTCCGACTGTGATATTATTTTTAAGATAATGCTATTAAAATCCAATGTATATATATATATATATATGTATGTTTATTTATATGTTATTAACAATTCCTATGTGTAGATGTGGCCACTAATAAGTAAGTGTGTTTTATATGCATTATCTCATGCATGGTGTGATCGATATAACTTATAATCAAACTACAAAAGAACTCATAAACACATTCCACTGATAAATATCTGTGTACATACATATTATGACAAGGAATTACTACTATTACGATTCTGAAATATAATACTCTGATTTTTTTTTGAGATTATGAGAATGTTTGAAAGAGAATAATATGAGTCCTATTCTTATAATTTAATGTAATATACATTTATCCTATTATACCTATTCATGAAGTATTATAAAAATATATATTTTGTTTGCAATGTAAGACAAATCAAACTCAAATTATATCAATCACGCCATAAATAGATATATATTTCTTATAGAGCTTCCTTAATTGGATTTTTTTGCTCACCCATAAATTATTATTAAACTAGACAGTACACCACTTTCTTTTTCAATGCTACATTAGAAGTTATGTTATTCAACTATATAGTGTTGTTTTTTATTGTCTTTTCCAACATTCTGTTTCTTGTAACACGAGGATCGTTTGTTGGAACACACATTAAGTATTAACTAGGTTGTGTTTAAACGAGAGCTAACAACGTAACTTAAATATGATCACAATTGTAAAATATACAACTCGAGTTGAATTCAATATTTAAATAATTATGATAAATATTCATAATTACAGGATTTTTTTATTTATCTATACCTAATTATATAACATAAAGAAAAGCCTATACATAAATTTCGACTACTGTATTATATATTCAAGATTTGTATAATGAAATTGGATATAATACTTGTTAGGTCTCGTATGACAAATAACACACTAGTACGCTATATAGTTGGATTGGAGTGCGTTAACGCGTGTTGTTTTCCCTCATGTTTGTTGCGCATTCGCACTGTCACTAACGGCACGGCGGCAGCGAGTTGGTGGTCCGCGCGCCTCCTCCACACCGGTGTCGGCGAAGAACGCCCTCCAGGTACAGTACCCCACTATCGCCGCTCGGTAGGTTGGCGTGCCCACCGCACACCCATGTGCCAAACGTCAAAACATTAAAATCCCTGCTACAATTAGGCCAGTGTATTGGTCCTACTTGGTGTACCTTTTATATATTCAAATTCAAATTATATTTATTCATGTAGGTCTATTACAGATACTTATGATATGTCAAATCTGCCGTCAGTTCGGAATGATATCGAGATGACAAGAAACTCAGCTCGTATTCTTTTCAAATAAATGTTGTGCATGTTTACAATAATATATATTCATTTTAAATTCAAATTTGTATCTTAACGCCATTTGTCAATATAAAGTTTTGCGTTCAGTTCATTTCTCACGAGACCGTAATGTCATTTTATAAAAAATGACATACAAAAATGAAAAACGTAAAATAAATGACGAGCATAAGCGCGTCATTTATTTTACGTTTGTGAATTACAACGATATGAAGTAATAAGTACTTATCGCAATTGTACAACATATGTAAATAAACAAACGTCAACAAGTCACGCACTTACGTTACGTTTTTAAAACGCGCCTTAATCAAATATACGTAAAAAGAGATAATATTTGTATTGTAAAAAAATGTGCAGTTTTGTTGTAGATGACGATCAACTATTGTTATGGATAAAAAGTCAACAGCTTTCTTACTTGGCCTATGTAGGATCCAACACATTGACCTAATATATACTGGGCTAAAGTGCCAATGTAATACTTGTTGGGCCAGTACTACTTAGCATAGTATTCGCCCAATATTGCGTTTTGAATTTTGGCACACGTTTGGCGACAGTAATCACCAACCTCTGTGCCGACGATATCGGGACTTCCATTTTTCGGCTGTATCGACTGCTTAATTTAAGTCGATTTTCTCTTATTAATGACATCGAACAACGAATGTAATTATTTTTCGTTTTTCTTTTGTTTTGTAATGAATAGTATTACTTACAAACTAAAACGCTAACAGAAATTTATTTAGGTGTTCACCAGTCAACAGTCTTATGTTGCATTTACATGAAAATGTTGGAATGTAAGTCATTTATGTGCTGTTCCAAAATTTTCTTGATACAATAGTAATTTTATTTACTAGAAGACAATATTTTGTCAATTAATGCACTGTAAGTACAAAATGTCAACGGCTATTTTTATAATCATGTTCCCACGATGTACCATAAGCTCAACGAATCGAATTAGCTGTATAGTTACACACAGAACGCTGTTAAATATTAGCTTGTATCAATGGTAAAACTGTGATATTATTTGGTTTTTATATTCTATATACACCTATTTATTTATTTATTCTCAAAAATAATCGTTAAAGTAATTGTTTATGATTACACAGATTATTATTTGGTGCAATTAATAAATTATTTATTAATGATGAAATCATTACTTTTTACTTTTAATATTGACCAGTGCCTGTAAGTTATGATAATATTCATAAATGTAAGAACTCATTAAATCGAGAGCATTCCCTTTTGCTTTTATATAATTTTACATGTTTAATATTTAATATTTCTTAATACTAACTATTTGATAATTATTTCTTTTAGTGTAACCATAGGTCTTAACTAGTTGCTAATTTATATTTAAAATAATGAAGATGTGAATGTTAATTAATATATAAACGGAATCGTTTATGAGTTTTTAATAAAATATACTGTATTTGTGGTGTATTATTCGTTCCTGCATTACCCTGTTCTGGTAATAATAAAGTGTTATAATTAACTGATTTTGGAGTTGTTTTATTGAACTAATATCGCTGTAAGTACTGTATGCTTGAAGGTCATCACACACGGCTAAGATATTACAGTTATCGTCAATTATTTATAGACAAGAAAATGGTATCTATCGACAGTTTTTCTCTTGCCAAATATGTTTCATAAAAGCGGCAGATAATTTAAAGTTGTAACTTTTAAATGTATCAATTTCTAAACATAGCGTTGAATTGTAAGAAATATTTATAAATAATTTTAGACATATTTATAAAATAGAAATTGAATTTCAGTTTCACTATATTATACTATTCCTGGGCATAATTAATTTTAAACATTACCTGTCCTAAATTAAATAAAGGTATATACAAGGTACAGGTATATAGTGTTTTAAATTCCATCTTTTATAATTCTATCGCCAAAGCTAATAGCTCTGTTAATATTAGATAAAATTTTACTTTTCAGACAAGCGAAAATTATATAATTATGATTTTGTAAAAAACATGCATAAATTATTAAATAGCACATTCATAAAATTATTATATTAAAAGTTCACCGTTATTTGCTACTGATACAATTTTCTATTCATCGATATTATAGTAGAAATGTATGCCGTTTGTGAGAACCTTAATAGTAGCATGCTCTCTTTCTAACCTTTTGGCGTAATAATATGAAACTAGGAAATAGGTTGTGAATAATAAACGAAAGGTCTCTCTCAGGTTGTAATTCAGTTATTCCATTTCTACATCCTACCTTATTTCATATTAATGCGTACCCAAAGTAATCTCAAACTCGAGTGTAGGTGTGTACTTTTGGATTGCAAATATGGAATACCTTTATTATGAATATGCGCAATGGGAGTGGTTTGCACATGGGCTTTACGAATGTAAATATACTTCTTTTTCCGCTTGTCTACGTTGATTTTGAACCTAGATATTGTCATATATGTGGTCGTACAAACGATATTTTCAAGTGTCCGTGTATGATAAAATCTGAATTATGGGAGTAAAGTATACGGAAAAGAATTTCCATTATTGTGTATTACTATATTTAACCCTATATACCGCCCAATACAGTATAGAATCCAATATATATCCACTTTGATGTATACTGTTATACGAGTATATGATGGCTTTTAAATGTGGTACTTATGTAGACTGCTCGACTACGAGGCAGCTGTAAGGGTAAAAACCCACTTCACTGTCGGGTCACCGCCGTTACCTGGGCTTTACTAATGTAAGAACTTTTAAATGCTATATTATTTAAAAAAAATATATGATTTTCTTGGTTCTGACATATGACGGTACTTTACTGATTCTGATCTGTATATACCCCTGGCGTAATAATATGTATTATTTTTATCTTAGCTAGTTATCTCATACATTTAATAAAGCAATAACGCGGAACAGTTATTGTTTTGCATTTGATAATTCGCGAACACTAGAAAATTTCAACTGTTTATTATTTTTGAGAATAAACATTATGAAAGGCTTGATGCCTTTGCTCCTATATTATGTATATTTACAGAGTGTAATTCGTAGCAATTTAAAACAACAGTAGGTACCTATTTAAAACATTAAAAACATTGAATTATACTTCATATAAACCCTTTTGTCTTGTGATTGATTTGTCTTTTTTTTTTAATTCGACCTATTTTCCTAAACAAAAACTTTCGATGAAATAATATGTAATCAGACAGTCTCCTTAAATATTTTCGTTTAAAGAAATTGGTGAATTAATAAAACCTTATATGTTCATCTACATCATGTGCCAATAATATGCTTAAATCACAGTAATCAAAGATCACATCATTAACCGTAATGTTATAAAAAATACTCATAATGAATAATCTTGTTTTTGATGTTTCCGTCTAGATTCTAAAATCGTAACGCCAGATAGAAAGGTGAAATGAAAAGAATGAAATACTGCATTAATATAATAGTATACGCGAATTTCATACTGAAGGCCTTTTGCCGTTGCTTTATACATAAAAAAATGCCACCCTTCCAAATTAAATAAATAGGATTACCTTCGCGCTGTAGACAGGGGCAAAGTGCATTGCGCTCCCTCCCACCATAGTTAAGTTCAAAGCCAATACTTACTGCGCCAAGTCGATCGATCGCGTCTAGTACCTTACTAGCTAACAGTATAAATATTTTAATAGTACATGCCTAGTTCCCAGACTTAATACGATTACATATCTATACAAGTATATGAATAGAGTAGATATCGACTTTATTTTACCTGGACATATCTGTTGTGTTAAAGAATACCTAGTAATTTTTTTTACAAAATTTGATTAACAGTAGACATATTTCTTATTCTTATTAGATTCCCAAATCCAACATGTAGAAGAAAAAAAATAAAACGAAAAAAATAGCATCAGTATTGGTTTACTACGGCCTCTAATTGGACTAATTCTGCGATAACAGTAATCACTCTGAACAAAATTAAATGTAAATTTAGGATTGAATTCATTACTATGATAAGTCAATAAAATGGCTCTATCTGGTATTTGTCATCGTAAGTAATTTACTTATTTGGCGTGTGTGGGTGAAGTATAAAAATAAATAAGTGTATGTTCCCACTCACGCATATCTAAATACTTTAGCATCTTGTCACATTAACCATGAGTTGAATAGAACCTGTCTTCTAGTGATAAAATAAAACAATCTTTATATACAGGAGACATTTCCGCGTATGACAAAATTCCACTTAATATTCGCTAAAAATGAGGGCATTGAGATTCGAGTGAGTTCTCGGTAAAGATAAACAAAGAATGAATAAAAAATTACTAAGCCGAGAAGAGTGTGTGCAACCTGCGTTAACCTGACTTTCTACCATCCAACCAAGACCTTAATACTATTAAATTACTACTACTACTTACAGTGGGATAATGGATATGGGAGTTTTAAAAAATAGTAAACCATAGTTCATGACCGGTAATTTAGTTATCTAGAGGATAGACAAATTAATGAGTATTGCTTTGTATAAACAATCTACAAGTATTGTAGATTGTTTATATGCAACCCAAGGAATGACATATCATTATATGTAAAAATCATCAATTGGTTATCACTTTCCATCAGACTTGTTTTTATTTTCATTCTCAGTAGTATGAAAAAACAAACATATTTTAGCATAACGAGATTTGTATGTTTTCTGTAAAAAAATATTTTATTTCATTGTTGTGGTAGCGTCGCAGTTCATTCTACGATGCAATCGTCATATAGGGTGGGGCTGAGGCCAAATTTAGGATTTTAAACCCATCAAGGTCCATAATACTGCATGGCACAGACATTACTAGTGTATATGGGCATTAAAAGTTTCAGTGCCCTAACGAAGTACTTCCGGTTAATACCACAGATACCTAATAGTCCATTAACCACTTACCACTTACGTAAGCTAGAAGTTACGTCTATTTCACTGTTACACAGGCTGTGGATATAGATATCACATTGAAATTATGTATGTTGATAAATAATCTATACACATAATAAAAAATTAACTGATCAGTGTCTGTACATGGAATTAATATTAAAAAAACAACAAAACCGAAAATAATTATTATAAAATCTGTGACTTTATTCTCGAAAATATCAGCCCTTTGGTTTAATCGATTTTAGAGCTGTTTGCCTGAATATATTTCACTTAAAATGAGTTTGTTTTATTCAAACGGTTTGCAGCCAAAGAACATATTAACTATTATTTTTCCAAATACCACTGGTATTTGTAAATAATGGTTAATTTGTCCTTGTCATATACATAGTATCGAACATTCGTTGAACCCAAATTAATAATGTAGTAATTAGGAAGGTCAATATATACGAGAGTAGTAAAGCGTAGGTTCATGATACTGCCGGCCTGCGTAGGCATAGTTACTTTGTGAGACCTCTCATATGCTGCCGTAACCACTATTTAGTACTATGGTGTTATGCCTCTTGTTTTATCTCTTGCTTTTTCTTTGCATAGTAGAAGTTGTTAGTATTTTACGACTGACAGTCGTGTACAACCCAGATACGTATCACATGTAATCAAAGTATCACATGATTCTATCGTGGCTATAAAGTATATAATTATATACATCTCATATTAAATTTTATTGTATTGAATTTGAACCTATAGACTTCGCTTCTACGATGATAAACATCGTTGATAAATAACCCATTCACCATAATAGTTGTGGAGAAAATGTCTTTGTACCTACACCTTTGGAATTCCAAGTGCTTAAAGGCTACAGTAAACGTTTGAAAATGAAGTTATATGACAGTATAAATTCCTGTAGAGAATAAAATAGACATTCATCTGTATATATCATACTGTTGACTGATTTTGTTTAATGTCCGTTTATATGAATTCGTTTGTGGCGTGAACATGTATAAATAAGATTGAACACTACATCCTAAGACCTATATAAAATTCTTATATATTATTCGTCTGTTTGTCACCTTATTTGGATGAAATGTGTGTATATTTCCATGCATTTCTGGATGGTCTGAAACGACAGTATAAATTTATTTATTTGTTTGATTTATATTTTCGTTGATTTGTTCTTTATATTCGTTTATTGTAATTTATTTGTGTGAAGTGGAAAAATCAGAACACTACTATATTATATAAAAAACAGTGCCAAAAATATTTTCTTTCTGCTGTGAATACAACTAAGAAGAATACCACACCTACGTAGCAGAAGACAACTATAACGGAGACACAGGCAGTAATGGCCATCAAATAACTATTAGTATTATAGATTATGATTAGTAATGTAGAGATACTTATTTTTAAAGTCGAATTTAATACATAATATTAAATTAGTTAAATAGGTTTTAACACCAATAATAATGACGTGACCACTGCTAGTACAATCTAGACTATATGTAGAGAGGTGTAAATACCATGAAATTATTCGTGCTAAAACCCATTCAACTATATTAATAGGACGTAGAGATACATTGGTACATTGTGGAACATTATTCTAAAATAATTATAAATAAAAAACATTATATTAACAACTCATTTACGTCCCACTGACGCATAACTCAGTACATATAGAAAGTAAGCTTGTGCACTATTTGAACCTGAAAAGTAGTTAAAATTATAAATAAAATTACCAATACGAGAAATATTGTGAACATAATTACTTCATTCGTTAAATATGACGGTACATAGGTACTAGTTCATAGTTATCGTGTATTTATCAGATGAATTCAACGTTCCAAAGCGAGCACTGTCTGAAACGGTTTTTAATCTGTATTATGTCCAAGAAGTAGAGCTTTAAAGAACAAAGAATAGCTCGCTATTCGAGAATTGTATTGCAGTAGAACGTCAATGGGCTGTTATGATAGTGGTGGTAATTGTAAAAGATAAAGTATTACATTCAACATATATTTTGTGGCTGTATCCATGTGGAGTACAGCCTATGTTGCTTACTAAATAATTTATCTTCCTAAAGGTATTTTTTTTAATTAGTCATATATTTTATGAGTTTATGTAATTACAAACAAATATATAAAGAACTTGCTGTTTATGATATTAGTGTGGATAATTTATTTTTTCTCAGTGATAATATATAATTAAAATATAATCAGGAACTACTGCGGGAGAAGCAACAGCACCTAGAGCGGTTGATGCGTGAGAGAGAGTTGGAACGGGCTGAAGTCGCCAAGGTCTCGTTACAAGCAGAGAGGGCAGAAAGTGCTTTAGCACAACTAAAGAAGGAAGCTACACAGGTTGGTGACTATAATTTTATTACTCACTAGCTATTCTCGCGACTTCGTCCGCGTGGAATTTAACTTTATTTTACTATATTAAAAGAATTTTTCTAAACTAAAAGTAGCCTAAGTTTCTCCTTATTACATCATAAAAGTTCCATCTAAATAGGTCTAGCCATTTTAAAAATTAGCCGGAACAAACAGAACGACAGACAGACATACAAAAATTGTAAAAAGTGGTTTTTTGGTATATGTACCGTATTTATATTCATAGGCATGTGTTATAAAACGATTATTTTAATATTACAAATAGACACTCCAATTTTATTTATATGAATAGATTATGATAATCGTTACTTTATCATTATTTTTTCAACAACGCCTTACTAATGATGATCGCGGGTTCGAGGAATCGAACCCGCGACCACTATGCAAATATTTGTATTAATGCGTATAGGTTGAAAGTTGATTACAGGGAAATTATGTTGAATGTTGAGATCCCTGAATGTACTTATACGTACATATAGGGATCTTAATCAACATGCATTTATGATATAATGCTGTAATTCAAATCATTACACTTAATTTTTTTATGGTTCCAGATTTTATTAGAGTTACTTACACTCTCTAGGTTTGGCAAGGCAAAAAATTACTTTATTTTATCTCGAATAAACATAACAACGAAGTAAACTTAGTAGGTACTCAATTAATCTGATATAACATTTTAATTTCTAGACTACTACTGAAAATGGAAAACTTAAGACTGAACTGGACAAGGTCAATAAGCAACTGGAAGATGAAAGACAGAAGGTTGAAGATCTCTTATTCAGAACAGAGGAGGAAAACATTAATAAAGAAGATTACAATGTAATTTGAAAACAATTTTGTAATTTATTTATTTAATCTTAGCGCTGTATACAATAGACTAATATTACTTATTTCTTTTTCAGAAATACAAAGAAGCTATGGAGGTAGAAAATCATTTTAATATACTTATTAGAATTAAATATTTCTATTGTATATAATTATAAGTAACATGCATAATTGTTATTACTTTACGACAACATTCAATATTCTATTGGTATTTGTTGCGGGTGAATGAATACGATGTTAATGGTCGAGACGATGTATATTACAGATGGTAATAAACTGACAATATGTACATAGAAATAATGATATTATATACTAAATAACAATAGGAAAATAGTAAGGTGGGGTGATGTATCTAGGTCACTGTGTCCCATAGTATTTATTAATTAAAATTCATTTAATAAAAATAGTAATGTATATTAAATTAAAACTACTTCAATATTAGCAAGAAAAAGCATCACACATCCATCGCATTCGTGAATTGGAGGCGGAAGCAGCTCTACAGGCATCACGCGCTGACACGACAGCTGCAGCTCTGCAAGCCCTGGAAGATCAACGCAGTGCTGAAGCTGCAGCGATTTCAGAACAACATAAGGAAGAGCTCTCTGCAGCCCAAAGTAATATTTTATGAAATCTGTTTTAAATGCGCTACGTTATTGTTAATGTTACGAACTTATAACATTTCGATACAACAAAAATTTTGAAACAATTAATATTAGGAATTCCATTACCATAGGTAATGGTATAAAAGTAGATCTTATAGATGGTGAAGTGAATACTTAAAATTTCTTCAAAACCTTTAGTCAATATTAACTACTTGACATTTATTTCAGCTTTATCGTCAGAATTACAAAAACTATTAGATGAAGCGTACGCTCTTCTCAAAGAAAAAGAAAATGAGAAAGATTCACTAGGCAAAAGTATGTCTGATGAGCTAGCTCGAGTCAAAGCAGAATCTGAAAGAGCTCTTAATGATGCTAAAACAAAAATTGCAATTGCACAAACAGAATTTGATACACAGATTTCAGTATTATCAGCTAATTTGCAATTGGCTGAATCTAAATTAGAAACTGAAAAACAAAATTTGGAGAGACTGAATAAAGAAAACAGTCAGACTATAATAGATTTAAATACAAAATTAAGTCAGCTTCAAGCCACTGTCGATGATAAAACCCTGGAGTTAAATAAAGGTAATAAACAAATAGTTGCTTCAAATTGTTTGTCTCTACTTTACAATGAATATCACTTAACAATTTTCTATGTTTATTTCAGTTTTGGGTACAAGTAAAGAACATGAAGTAAATCTAAATAAAGAAATCACAAAACTAAAGATGGAGTTAAGTGCCAAAGTATTAGATCTGGAACAATTGGAAAGTGCTAAGAAAAAGCAAGAAACTATTTGTGTGTCTTTACAAGAGGAAATTGTTCGTGTAAAGGAAGAGTATTCTAGCAAAGTTAATGAATATGAAAGTTTATTGAGCGATGTATCACAACAAAATGAACGAAGTAAAATGGACATCATTGAATTACAGCAAAATTTAAATGCCAAAACAAAAGATTACGAAAGATTATTGACTGAAAGTAGTGCTTCTAACAATTCCACTGAAAAAATAATAATTGAGTATAAGCAAACTATTCATGAAAGGGACAAAGAAATTTTAAAACTGAAAGATGACTTCGAACAAACTACTGCAAATTTTAATATCAAGCATAGTAAAATTGCAGAAGAACATAAAAAAGAAATTGACAACCGAAATACAAAAATAGAACAGCTTATGAAAGAAATTGAAAACCATAACCAGGCTTTAGACCAAAGTAAAATTGAATTTGACACCCTTAATTCCCAATTTATTACAAATGTAGATGAATTAAAGGCTCTAAAAGAAGAAAACGAAAAATTGAAACAAGCCGTTAATGATTTAAATCAATTGAATAATGACCTCAAAGCCAAAATATCAGTTATGGAACTAGCTATTGGAGAAGGAACAAGAGAACTCGATGATGTTATAGAAAAGTGCAATGATTTAAAAGAAAAAGTTGAATCTGAATATCTAAATCTTACTGGACAGGCTACTGATTCTAATGAACAGTTTAATAAGCTTTCTCAGCATCTTAAAGAGAGTGAAAAGGAAGTCCAAGAATTGAAAGATAAATTCAGAGAAGCAACTAATAATTACGGTAGGACGGAACAGGAACTTAAACAAAAGTTATTTAAAGTACAAGAAGATTTCTCTCTAGAACGTGGTCAGTTAACGCAGTCGGTTAATGACAATATTGAGACACTTAAAGAAGCAGAAAATAAGATTAAAGAATATGAAAATAGGCTATGTGAATTAAGCAATCGTTTAAAGGAAATAGAGTCCAACAATGATAAACTACTAGACGAAAATACTACACTTAAGACAGAAATTGAAGCATTTAAAGTAAAGGAGCAAGAGTTAAATATTGAATTTGAATCTACGCGTAAAAAACTTGAAATTGATATAGATAAATATAAAGAAGAAATAGCAGTATTAAAATCAGAAGGAGTAAGTTCTGAAGTAAAGTTAATGGAAAAAGTAGATCAACTTACTGAGGCACAGAACGATCTTAATAATAAGTTGGAAGAAGCCAGAAAACATGAAGACTCTTTGCAAAAAATACTGGACGATATGACGTCGCAATTAAATATACAGAGAAATCAACATGAAAAGGAAGTTTCTGAAGTTCGAAATCAGTTAACAGGCGTGAGCAAGGAATTAGATAATCACAAGATAGAAGAAAACAGACTAAAAGTACTGCTGGATGAAAAACAAAATAATATTAAAGAACTTACTCTGAAATTGGAAATGCTTGAAGTTGATTTAAAATCAAATGTAGAAATTGTTGCTGAAAAGGACCGCCAAATATCCCAGGTTAACAATGAAATAACTAAAGTTAACGAAAACAAGAAATTGATTGAAGAAAAATTAAATACCGCATTATTAGAAGCCTCAACGGTAAAGCAAAAGTACGATGCACTTATAGCGAATTCTTCTGCTGAAGAATCCGTATTAAAAGAGCACTTAACTCAGTTAGATACATTAAGAAAAGAAATGGCCACTTTGCTTCAAGATAAAGCTTTAGTAGAAACAAAATATAATGATATTTCGGTAGATTTAAATAAATATAAAGAAGAACATAATGATATTAGTAATAAATTAGTAGAAAATGTCAATATTTGTAATGATTTGAAGAAAAGTTTAGAAGACAAAGATATTCTACTGAAATCTCAAAATGACCAAATTAAAATGGAAGTAGCTAAAATAAAATTATTAGAAGAAGAAGTAACTAAAATTAAACAAGAAATATCAAATAAAGATGAAGTGATAAATAGTAAAGAATCAGAACTTCAGAAACTTAATGAATCTTTACATTTAGGCGCAAACGAATCAGAACAAGTTATTAAACAACTTCGAGATGACATTACTAAAGTTCATGAAAAGCATAAAAATGAATTAGAATCATTGAATATAATTATTAAAACTCAACAAAATAAAATGGCGGAAGAAGAGAAACAATTAGAGGAACTTCAGCAAACTAAAGAAAAAGTGGCAGAATTACAGCAACAATTAGTCAAATCAGAACAAGATATAAAACAACTTTCCGATATTAACAATGGGCAAAAATCAAACTACGAAGATTTAAATAAACAGTTACAATCTCAGTACGAGGAATACAAAAAAGAAAGCAAGCATATGAAGAATGATCTCAAAAACAAATTAAGTGACTACGAAAAACAATTAACGGAATCGAAAGAAAAATTGAGAATTGAGGTTGAACAGCAAACTGAACTCCATAAAAAACTTTCTCAGAAGGAGTCTAAAATATTAGAATTATCACAAAAATTAGACTTAATAAATATTCATCAGAGTTCCGACGCCGAAAAAGATATTAGATTGGAAAAGTTGACTACAGAATTACAAGATGCCAAAAAATCTAGCGCAGAATCTTTAGCGCGTAGCGAAGCTGCTATCAATAATTTTAAAGCGGATATCGAAAAGAAAATGCAAGAATTAAAATTAAAGGATGAACTTGTTTCTAAATTACAACAGGAAGTCAAGGTAAGCTACTTATCTCACTTCATTTCTTTCCTAATTTTAGCAGATGAACCTTGAAAAAGTATATATATGGAGAAACTTATGTCCACTATTTTATGTAATTGTAATTTTTTTATCCAGATTTTATATGGCACTTTCATTTTTCAACTCTTTACAGAATCATAAGGTTAAAATTGAAATAATGGAGCGGGAGAAGGCGCTTTTAAAAAAAGATATTGCTGCAAATATTGGCATACGAGACAATAACGACAATAATGCTATGGGAATATTAGGCCAAGGCGACAATGCATCACAAAAGTACTTAACTTTGTTTATATTACTTTATTTTATATTGGCATACATTAATACCTACTGTACTAATAATACCTTCCTGTCGTGTATCATAAAAAATACGTTACCTTCCATTAACTTTGAGTTCTATCCTAGTACAATAGAAAATTTTGTAATATTTTAATTGTAATATTATGAACAGATCTGCGGAAGAAAAGGAAATGATTGATGGACAAGTAAGCTTTTTAAATTCTGTGATCGTGGACATGCAGCGTAAGAATGAGCAGTTAATGGCAAAAGTTCTAGCATTAGAAGGGGGAACTACAGTGAGTGATACACCAGCGTTGTGAGTAGTTCCCTATAAATGACTTATTATATTTCACTATATTTATATATAAAGCTAATACTATATTAATAATACTGGAGTAAAAAGAATATCTACTATCTTAATATTTTTAACTACTCTAAAGTCCTTTTTGTGATCAAGGCACTTGCCTCAGCTATTAATGAATAAATAAAGTAACGGGATTTATTACTTCTCTAAACATAGTAGTAAGTAGCATTACAGTACTGGTATAGAACTAATAAAATATGACCAAAACAGCAATGGGCGCAAGTCTCGTCCGGCGCCGCGTCTGTTTTGCGACATTTGTGATGTATTTGACGCCCACGACACGGAAGATTGTCCTAGGCAATCGGCCGATCCGGACCCACCAGCGCCAGCACTTACTTCCAAGCGGGTACCGCCGCCACCTCGTCCCTACTGCGATATATGTGAAGGTAAATATACATTTTACTCTACTTGAAATTTTTGTCCTTGGTTTAAAACCTGTTTTACAAATATAATTACATAAAATTGTTTTAATTTATGTTTTATTTCAATATGTATATTTACTTATTATGTTCACCTATTATAATAATTACTACTTACTGTTCATTCTTAAGGTTGATTGTAGTTAAAAGCAGAGTTAAATTTACCTGTTGTAATGTTTTATGTTATTATATACTTTGATGGGATTCTTTTCATGCAGTCTGTTTATAAAGCGTTTCACCCGTGTGAAATATAGCCTATGTGTTATTCTGAGGTATGAGCTATATTATTGGAATTTAATTAAATTTCAGTATTTTGCGTCAGAGTTACTAACATCCATCCAATTATCCACATTCACAAACTACGCATTTATAATGTTAGTAAGATTACCTGTCCAATATTGTTTTTTTGGGACTATATGCTAGGACTAATGCTGTTGACTACAGCTGAGTTTTATCAGACAAAACGGCAATACTGAGCTATATTAATAGTAAATATGATTCTTGAAAGTAGAATTTAATCACTCTATGCTTTTTAAAGTTCATACAAACCTCTTATATTTTATATATTTCCAAATAGCTGAATCGACTTAGATGAAATTTTGTGTATGTATATTGGAATGAGTTAAAAGCACGATAGATAAACCGGTATATGACGCTGATTTATACCGGTACGGCGGCCTGGTCCGATAGTATATATTTTGCTTGTAACATAGTTTTAGTCCTATACATCCTATACATTTACATAAGAAATAATAATAACGATATACTTTGTTTTTTCCAGTATTCGGCCACGCAACAGAGAACTGTGATGAAGAGGAGACATTTTAATATTTATTAAAACATTTAATTTAAAATGTTACCGTTGTTGTTGTTACTATTTTTAGTTGGGTATTATTTATTATTGTTTACCATGAGAATGGTATAATTGTTTACTAGTTAATACCATAGACAAATTGTGTAAATAAGTAAGATTGATCTTTTACATTTATAAATTTATATTTGCATGACATACATATTTTTACAGTTATTTGGTGAATGGTTTAATTTTTATAAACTTTTTTCATTTGCATTATCTGGATATAATGTAAACTGAGAATATCTTTTTTAAAGCACAAATCAATTTCCATCACAATCATGTTTTAATACCATACCATTTGAATGTTATTTTATGGCGATAATCTGATGAAAACATAAACACCAAAATAATCTTTTTATAAGCAATAAATCTAGTTGACAATTTTATTGTTTTATTTATTAACAATTTAGCAATTGTTCTAATGGCAACAGTAACGGGTAGAGAATTTAGTAAACATAAATCCATGTGCCAAGAAGTAAATAGAAAGTGGGGACTTAATGGTGGGAATGTTTGAAGATAAATCTAAAACTTTTTGAATTGTTTAAAAAAAGTTAAAAAGTACAACAGAAAAATTTATACAGTACTGTCCACAACTGACATAAAAATCTTCAGCTATGTATGTACATATATAGGTATACCATGTGATGGTATTTTATATATTTATGCAATGCATAAATAAAATTTAATCAATTTCAATATACTGAACCAACCAAAGAGATATTGTCCTTATAAATGTAACAAAATGCTAAAATATTGTCTATAGGAAATCCTTTGTTCATATTTTATTATTATATTTAATAAGGGATTAAGGTTTTATTGAATCAAAAGCAAAATTAACTTTTTAACCTTATTTTATATTGAATTAAACCTTAGTAAAAATTAATTTAAAACTAATTCTCATAATTATAAATCTTTCTAATCCAATCCATCTTTTTTCTCCTTAATTGCTTCCTGAAACAATATAAATATTTTAGTTTTAAATAAAATTCTCGTGTCACAATGTTATTTACCATACTCCTCTGAAGTGGCTTGACCGATTTTTATGAAATTTTATATGCATATTCACATTTATATTAAATGGAAATATTTTTTTTATTTTTTATTATGTGTCATTAAAAAATACATACAACCCTAAATTTTCATCCTTCTATCACCAACCCCTATTTTTTTATAGGGGTATTAATTTATATGGCAAAACAATGTTTGCCGGGACAGCTAGTAATATATAAATATGTAGTATTGTTTACGAATATCTTATCTTGAATCTGAAACCCAGGTTTAAAATGTTGGTCTGCTATGGATATTCCATCACTCTAAGATATAAATGCTTGACATTACAACTATTAGGTCAGTTTAGGATTACTTACACATTATGCACTGCAAATATCCCTAAGATTTAATCACATTGATTATATCTTACGCTTCACCATATCACGTTGATATTGGTGAACATTGAATATACTACACACAACCTTACCATCCAATATATGTTGGTATGATCTGCCCATAATAAAGACATTTGTATGACATTTATATAACATTTGTTGTCATGAGCTTGACTATTTGCATTAATCTGGGTAATATATACATCATATAAATTTAATAAAAGAAAAACATGTCCAAGCCTTTCAAAATAGTATATAATACAAAGTAGTAGGAAGTATCAAGATATTTTAAGAATTGTAAAAAATAAAAGTTTAATTTTATTTATTATTAAACAGTCCTTTGTCAAATAAATAGTTCTAATATCAATTGAATCACCTTTCTGTGTAGCTATTGCCATATTATCATCATTACATAGGATAAAGTCGCTGTTGCTGTCTGTCTGTCACTATGTATGCTTAAATCTTTAAAACAATGCAACAGATTTTGAAGTGGTTTATTTAGTAGAGAGTGATTCAAAAGGAAGGTTTATATATATAATATATATGTACCCATGCAAAGCCGGGGTGAGTAGTTTGTATTCCATATAGCAAACAAAATTATTCAGTGTAATTTTAAATTTATGAAGAAATAAATTACCTTGAATCTTTCCTCAAACAAAGAGAGCTCAGATGTAAGATCTGTGATGGCATTCATAAAGGCATCTTGTGGAGTGTAATCGGATGTTGTTTGGATGCGCAATACAAATTTATGCTCAAGGGGATGAGGAACCTTGTATCCTGCAAACAGCACCTTTGGATCCTTCAGCAATTGACTAAAAAAATTGATGTTATTATTTACCTATAATAATAATCTTTATTAGCCAATACAACACTTACATTTAGAACATTACAGCAAATCACATACTAGATATGCAAATCAGTATCGTGTGATTCACAGAATTATATTCTTTTCTACATTATATGTCAGGTGTTCGGCTGAATTTAATGAAATTACTTATTATGTCATAATAAAACTGCCTATTATTTTAATAAGAAAGGATACAATTTAAATTACCTACTTTTTACACATTATTTCATCTATTCCTATCATATAACAGCAGTTAATCGTCACAATAATAGTAGGAAGCATAATCATCTTAATTAGTATAAAGCAATTCATAGCAACGTCAACTTTCAACCTATGGAAATTAATAAAACAAATGCATGTAGGTGTAGGTCCTTCAGTGACATTAAACTTTCTTTATAGGAGATGGTGTTATAGAAACATAACCGGCCTTACTGTCTGATCATATTTCCAAGAGTATGGTCTTCCTTGTTAACCGTGAATATGGCAGCATTTGTGACTTTAGTGTCTTCTTCTTTTTGAACCCTGGTGAATTACGGAATAAAAATAGATAATTATTAAATAATTACAAATATCTTCTGAACAAAATAAACAGATACAAACTTTTTCTCTCCATCGTATAAAAGGAATGATTCGAAGGTTGGCGGGGCATTCATATTTAATATAAGCTAAAGCAAACTGATATAAGTTACGAATCACAATATGTTCAATCTTAAACGAAAGAATGGAAGGTAAATTATTTAAAATTTAAGTCACAATACGCATTTTGTAAATATCAGAGATCATAAAATGTCAAAATCATAAAAGCACAGAGCACAATTGCCATGACATTGACAGTATGTACAAAACAAGCTCTATGGTTCTGTAATACTTTATGGTTATAACTGTTGTCTTTATTCCCAACTACAAGTTATTGTGAAAAGTGTCCTTCAAAATAAATTCTATAGATATCGTACTATATTAAAAATATTGTTTTATGTCATTACAAGACAATTACTGTACTATAGAATCTTATGATTTTAAGGAACATTTTTATTGTCGGGATTGAACATGCGAAACCCTTGGCTCCGGAATAGGCGCTCGTAGGTAAACCGTGTATTTTTGATGGGTAAAAATACCACACACCACTTCGTCCTCCCTCCAGCGGGGTGATGGTCTTTTAAAGATTTTTTACATATTAAAAAAAGGAACGTTTTTGATTCCGATTATTCATTTATGTTTCAGGAACAAACATGCAGGTTCATAGGCAGCCACGTGATAGCGATTAGGCGATGTATTATGTCCTTGTTTATTGTTTTATATATATGTACTTGTTTAATTGTTATTCATTCATTCGAAAATCAAGCATTTTATTATACTTTCATAAATCCCACACTATTTGCAACTGGACTCACGAGTCCTAGAATTTAAATTTTAACACTAATCATTGTCTATCACGTAATTTCCTTTTATTAAACAATTCTTTATCAATACTTTACAATTTATTATAGGTACTGTCAGGTTCATAGCGTCGCAGACAAGAAGCGTCGGGTTTTCTTCATAAACGTCGTACCGAACAGCAGTGATTGATGATGATAATAAAGCACCTATATCATGTATTCACTGTTTCCATAAAAATTACCATATTGCTTTTATAAAATTAAAAAAGTAATTAAAATTACTATAAAAAAATATTTTAAAACTAGCACCGTGGCCGCATTCGAGGGATTGGTTGAACAAGACGAGCCTTTAATTACATAGATTTTATCTATGTAATTAAAGGCTCGTCTTGTCCGATTATAATGAAATTTTGTGTATATATTCATTAGGCCTGAGAATAGGTCGTAAATTATTATTAATTATTAGTGATAACACTAAATGATAAGGGTGTATTTTTTTATTTTATGGACAGTTTCTATTTTACACTTTTATGATTCGGCACTCAAAATACATACAATCCAAAAATCATTTATTCATGTAGGACATTCACAAGCGGACAAACCGCTTATGAACGTCAAGTTTTTTTGTATTAATATTTTTCCCTACCGTCCATATCATACAATATACACATTTATTTTTTATAATAGTATTTTTCTTTACATTGTTTACTTATATGGTCTGTCTAACATTAAATGAAAATCCCGTGCATGAACAACTATTCCCAAGCACGTTTGTCAAATGACAAAATTAAATAAGTAGGTATACCAATTTAATAGCGATATTAAAAAATAATCAATTTCATTTTCTGGGTTACCTAGTCTCACATATAAAAATATCGCGTAGTGTTTGTTACCGAAGTCCTCTGAAACGGACTGACTGATTTTTAAGAAAATTTTGTACGTATTCTCAGATCTACCAAATATTCCATATATTTGGTAGATCTGAGAATAGGTCGTAGTTCAATTTTTATAGCTGTAGGTGATAGGGGTGGTACTAATCAGTTTTACTAGACATAAGATTAGAATAGTGATTATTTATTTAGTTGTCAATAACCTGCTTGCTTGGTGACATAATGGCCACCTTACCGCCAATAATCTGTTTTGGACTACTGTATTCAAATAAAAATCTTACTTAGGTACGCTACCTAAATTTAATAATAAAAAAAATACAGCAGAAAACACCGTTTATTTTATAATTATGAGAGAATTTCAGATTGATAACCTACGTTGAATATGACTATAAAACCAATCTAACTTGAATTTTACAACGTGTTCAGGACCTCACTGTTTTGTAATACTTGAATACAATTTCAATATTAAGTAACTATAGTTGTCAGTGTTCCATTACAATATTACAAGACAATTTGTCGTAATAAGGATTACAATTTTAATATTAACTTGAAAGGAGTATACATAATTAGGTACGAGATACAAGAAATTTCGGTATAATAATATAATCATTAAACTATTTCAACATTTCTGTTCAAACTAAACAATGATTAAAAATGAATCAGTAAACTCTAATACATTTCAATTTTCACATTGTCATCATTCAACGCCAAGCAACATCGATAGTATGAAAGAACAAAGCACAAATTGGAGAAAAGTTGATCTAGGTAGGTGGTAGAAAGTATAAAGTCTAGCTAGCGACTCTATTGATAAATAACGCGGACACGAACTTAAGTAGTTACTTAAATTCGAACTATTGTTTATCTACTGTAACTATTTAAAAACTCACTAGGTACTGTAGTACATACATGTAAAGGCATTATTTGTTATAGCACGTTATTATATAAAAAATAGTACAGGTAATGTAGGTATGTCGTCGACAAAGTCCAAAATAGAGGTGCAATATGGGTAAAAGTTGATGTTAAATTGCAAAATTCTACAATATATACTGAAGGGCCAGGAATTTATTATTATGGCGGACTGACACATTTAGCTGAAATACAATACTATAATACAGCTGAACGACTGCTCGTTCGTAGCGCTTCGCGCTATTATACTTACTATCCAAAAGTAATCTACTTTCACAAAATTTGTTCTCCCTAAACGTCATATATGACTGGCTCAAGGCACAGAATATAGTAGTCACTACTCTCACGAGATTTATAAAGTAACGCCCCAAATAATTTAGCGGCACCAATTTGGAAATGACCACGCTATTTATTACCCGATGAATTATAAAAAAAATTACCGACAACATACGAACAACACCCTCGATCAGTATTAGAAAGTGTCCGCGCTTATATAGAGAAGAGTTGAAAATATTTTTACTAAAACAAAACTTGCTTGGTAATATTAGAATACGTATTGGTACTTAGCATATTATACTCGAAATGTATACATCAAGTTCGAAATTATAACTTTGCCAACATTTACGGACATAATCCAATGTTCAAGAAAGTCCTTAATAAACGTGTTGTGAAAAAAAATTTAAGTTATTTACTTTAACAGCGTACAGTTTTATATTATTAGAAATCTCAAAATTTTGTAACGACAATATATCAGAACCTACCTACCAACATGTTACAATTTTGTCAATATGAATCAGAATTACAATTTGGTACTTGTTCCTTTTAATTTATAATAATAAATAGCTTAAATATAAGTAGTAATTAATCATGATAACAGTAGGTACACAGTTTAGATAGAAAGATAATAAGCAGATACAATGCTTTTTGCATCTCGTAAATTATCGTTAATTTTTTGTTCTGTATTACCGCGTCGCATCGCATCAATTCACACACACAAATTGTGGCTTTATGAAGTCGTATGTGGCCACTGTACCTTGTACATCGTAAGTAGTTACTAAATACGTAGCTATGCAGCCTCGAAATATTCGCTAAAACGGCCGATTTTGGTACAGGTAAAACAGGATGCAGTGTCCGGGTACTTGGAAAAGCAATCAGTTGCTAAAAGCATCGTGTCTGTTCAGTCTAACATGATAATGTCAATTGCTGTGTACTTTGAGTGCTCGTGAAATGAGTGGCTCTAGGCCTACCCCAGAGTTCTAAATAGTAGAATTCTCTTAAATAGTAAAAAGTATATCGTTTTACACTCATTTAATAAAATTAAAATCAATACTTAGTACTTATGTTTTTAAAGAACATTTTGCCTAACAATATGCTAACAAATAAATAATTAGAAAAATTAGATAAGTACCTATAGTCATTTTTTAAAACTGAAAATCCAACAAATTCAATTTTTCTTGTTCGTTGTTCCACATATTTCCTAAGCAGAGTTTTTTTTCAACAAGTTATATAATATAACATTTAACGGACCTACCAATTTGCTTTATGAACAGATTAATTCTATGTGTTGATATAGATAATTTAGTGTTATATATTAGATACTTAAATATTATTACCATTGAAGAATACGAGATTTATAAGTTAAATTCATTCATTCAATAATGAACACAAAATTGTTGAATAAGCTTAATAAACAGCATTGTAATTATATTTGGATTACGTTTAACACTTACTATCTATCGTCTGTTAATGTAGTAAAATGCTATAAGAATTGACACATAAGTATATAAACTATACTAGTTGTGTACTTATACAAAATTAGCAATCCAATCAACAATATGCAATACTATTGATTATGAAAATATCTATGTTTTACGATTATATTGAGAATTGTTAGAACGCCGTGCCGGTGGCGAACTGCAGGCGCGCGCTCCCGCGCCCGTCCCGACACATGAACACGAGAAATCACTTATGTACACTAGTAACAGGTGAATACAAATGCAATATTAAAGATTATCAGAATAATAGAGATCCTTGAAAGCTGACTAGAAGCCGGTTATGCCTATACTAACACTTTATAATACATTATACGATTGGTCGCGAAGAGATTGGCGGCGGGCGATTTGCAGAAATCGCGTCGCGAATCTATCCGGCGGGCGGCCGGGAGCGGAGTGCGGGAGCGAGTTCCGCGCATCTCTTGTGCGAACGTATTCCGATATAGCGAGGCAAGCGACGGCGACGCGGCGCGCTGCGGATCACTACCGTTCACGTCAACTTGGTGTCAGGTACGCGACCTCGCATCGAGGCCAAGTATACTTATACTAGAGATACGATGAGTTCAGATGCATCTAGCTCTCGTCCACGTGATTTCGAATACACGAGACAGTATGCGATGAAATGAATGATTGGCGGCAGCCGGACGAAGGGACTAGCGCCTGTTGGGAAGACAAGCGAGAATTGACTGGCGAGTGGAGAATGCGACTGACCACAATTTATAATGAAGCTACGAGAGAAAAGGTATTACCTAGTTTCTCTACTGTTACGAAGGCAACTATATGAAATCCTACTCTTAAGGATAAAAATCTAATTATGCTATAAAATGTTAAAATTAACATTGCTTCATGTCCTTAAA